CCAGAAGTGAGTCACGAGATGACTCTTGAGCCAACTGGCTGGGGGGTCATAACCAGGAGACCCTCGGAAACAAGACTTGTGGACACCCGCACACCTCATCCGCGCGGTTCCGACACATCCCCAACGGTACACTGACAGTGGTCGGTAAGACCTTGGAGACGACCTACCAGGCAGGTGAACTATAGCAGGGTTTGGAGCTTCATGTTTTGACCCGTCCCCAACGTCATACAGTCTGCAAGGTCCATCTCCATCTCCTCTGCCATCAATCCTGCAGACCTCTCAAAAAAGAAGCGCCCCTACCATGGGACCTCACCACTATGATTTATTGTCAAACCTCGCACTACAGCACCACATGCATGTGGCGTCCCACGCTCCAAAGCGTTGTTGCTGGGCCGCCGGGCCCCAGCATTAAACCAAACAGCCAAACCATGGGCTCGCTCGGCAACTGGCGAGGGGGGTGGCTGGCTGCTCCAAGCGGGTTGGATACACGTGGTGACACGTGTCAGTGAGGCAGTAGCAAACTTCTAAATTTGCCTGGGATGTTCCTGATCTTGACCATGAAGGAAGTACCATTCAGGTGTTGAGTGGCTCTATCTCACCATTCACCTCGTGCCACCTGGCGGCCACCTGAAAGGATCACCCCCTGTCGCATCCCAATGCCGCACCTCCACGAAACCTGAGCTGCAGCAGCTCAAAGGGAAAGGTCAAATTAACAGTTTCCAAAATGTACTGTAGACTCTTGATATCTCTTGATGAATAGAGCCCCATATGAAGGAGTTGTTCCCTACTTGTAGCAAGGGTACGTGGTTCCGGCGCGCGTCGTAGATCGTCCGCAAGTTCGTGCATCCAAATGGGGTGTGTTTTTGGTTATTCAGAGTCTATATACAGTCATATACAGTCTACATTACTGCCTAGAGTCTAACAAATGTTTCATTCAATGCAACAAACACTCCCGGACACATTCATGGTGCCCGTGCGGAAGAGCTCCGTACACTTCTCCCACAGCCGGCCGAAAAGGCCCTTCGGTTGAAGCTCCTAGATGCGACATCCCGGCGAGACCACCAAAAACTGCAAGGACCCTTGCGAATTCGTTGGAATTGGGAAGTCAGTTCCATGTATGTTCGGCACCCGCAACAGGGATTTCAACTTGGATTCAACCAGTACTGATTCAATGCCTCGGTTTGGAGCCGTTTCGGGACCATCTCGCACGGTGTGGCGCCGCCCCTCGCCCCGGTGGCCCCCAGATGGACGCTCTGCGCGGCTCCTGGGCGGCCTCTGGAAAATCGTCCGCTCCCAGCGGGGCATCCAACCTGGATGGTCAGCACGACTGGACGACTCAAGTTGTGCCGTCAGCCATGGTGGCCCCCAGCCAGGCAGCGGCAAGTCCAAGCATGATTTGGGTGGAAATCACCAACTCCTTGGAGGCTTTGAGGCTCGTCCTCCACTAGGCTGCCAGCTTGAAGTCCTTCAAATCAATCACACAGCACCATGCACCATGCATGTGGTCTCCAATGTTGGTCCCTCAAACTCCGCAGGCTTGGGCTAGCCGCCTGGCCTACCACGTGGGGCCCCGGACGCCAAGTGCGGGCCCCCAAGGTCCTGGAGGCGGAGACCCGGGCGCAGGGCGCAGTGGGCGAGTGCTTCGGCGAATTTGGGTGGCATCCTTCAGATCTGTGGCAACTTCTGAATGCAAAGGTCATTAGAAAGGGACAAATTGTAGACTCTTGATGTTAAAACCGTCCACTTCAAAAGGTTTTACAATCCAAAAAGGGTTGGGTTTTGTTGATCAAGAGTCTCCATGAGGTTCGCTTTTTGGAATGCATGTTGAAAGGGAAGTCACTTTTCCTATCTACCATCTACTACTGGCATGATGGGAGAAAAATGGAGAAAATCACCTAATTTATATAGAAACCCTGTCTCGCGAGCGACCGAGAAGCGACCGACCGTGGGACCCTGGTACTTCCCAAACACGACGAATGCGACTGTATTTTAACATACATTGACCCCGTGTCAATCAACCACAGCGATGATAGGGCAAAAAAAATGCCTATTCCTTCGGAGTGTCTGCAGTTCGAATCCTCAAAGCATCTCAACATCTTTGGGTCGCAGCATTGAGAGACGTTGTTGAGTTCTGCCGCTTTGTGCGGGCCAAAGCCACGGCACCGGCCGATCTGTCCTTGGCACTCGCGGGGTCCTGGATCGTGGCCTGAGCAGGTCGGGCGAGGGGTTTGCGAAAGACCTGTCACCCAATCAATGACCGTCTGGACAGTTGCATACGTTTAGAATTAGAATATGTTTAGAATTGTTGATAGAATATGTGTAATATGTCTATCTCTGACCGTCTGCGAGTGTGCGGCAGACCGTACACGGCAGTCCGCAGGGTAGTGTAGAATGTGGTTCAAATTGTGGATAGATCCGGATCATCTGTTCGCACTCACCTCCACTACTGACAGACTGACAGATCTTCAGCACTGCTGGGATGGTCATGGTATGTCATGGTAGTCAATGTTGGAATCCCTCATGTGTGACTGTAAAGAGGTAAAGACGACTAATAGTGACCCTGTCACTGCTTTATAGTGCAGCTCTTGAATCTCCTCCTAGTCCCAACCCATGTTGCTGTTGTTGTTGTTGTGGTTGTGGTTGTGGTTGTTGTTGTTGTTGTTGTTGTTGTTGTTGTTGTTGTTTTCAGGGCTTCCGTGGGTTTTCGTTCTATTCCATTACGATGCGAAGTGATGGTCGTTGGAGCCTTCACTCCCCTCCTCGAGTCGGCCCGGTCGCCTGCAGTTTTTGCAGCCACTGGGTGAGGTCGCGGCTGGCCTTACCCACTCGCCGCCCCCGTGCGGAGGTTCCGGTGGGGTTCGGGGGGCGGAGCATCGACTGTTTGGTTCAAGGATGTTCCTTTTTTAGAGCTTCCCCAGTTGAGATGGGGAGTTTTTTCCAGCAACAGGACAAAGAGGCATGGCAAATGAGATATGAGTTCATCAAACTTCAAGGTCTATATTGGGCGCTTTGTACTGACCTAATGTCTAGTCAAGTCTTGTCCATAATTACATCTTTTTTGTCTGAAGCAAAGGGAATTGAGTGGCCTTTCACACCAGGGCGACATGGGAAGCAGTTTGTTCGACTAACCATGGACACGGAATTCCAAAATCTGACTCCCGAGCCCTTTCCCTAGAAAATAACGGTCAACTGAACTGTCCACCCGTTTCTGGTTCAGTATGGTTAAGTGAGGAAACATGGGGAAATCAATCCCCAAACAAGGTTTGCAGGTGATCCAGTCTTCCTGGGCAAGCCACCTGGCTGCCCTTCCCTAGCACCTCCCCAACGTGATGTTTTTTCCTCGCCCACGCCCGTGTGGCCCCCAGGCGAGCTCGCGTCCTAGCACTTCCTTTGGAAATAGCACTGCCTGTGCCGAGGAGGGGAAGAACACCATGGACCCCTGGTCCCTGATGTGGTTGCAAATCAGCTTGTTGGAACTGACTATTTGTTCACGCAACTGGTCAAAGAATGGACTTCCAATTGTTTTGGTACCTGGCTTGCATGGAACATCTTATTAGGGCCTGCAGACTGGACCTCAAAAGAAAAAAACAACCTTCTGGAGTCGTGGTGTTTCAGCCATGCAGGACTCCATGCAGCATTGAGAGTTGGTGCAGGGAGTCGGTGAACGTCAGGCCGCATCCAAAAAAGTCAGAAACCTTCCACGTCTGGTCGCCAGGATGAGCGGAAAACCACATCTTCTCTACCTGTCCCGGTCGGAGATGAGACCCCCCCAACATGGATGCCAAACCCGAGGAGACGCACCTGTCCAGCTGCTAGAGCGACCACCTTGGTGGAACAGTTAGCCCCATTGGGTGCTTCCAGTGGCTGTGGATGGGTGCTGTGGCACCTCCAACCTGCCAAGAATCACCCCAACCAGGAGTCACAAAGCTCGGAGTGCCGAAGCTTCCGAACGGAGAAAGGAGGTTAGGTGACATCCACGGCCCCGTAGGATGGGACGAGCCACACCATCCGACTCCGTGTGAGTCCTGTAACCTGGAACTTCTGGGGGACATTGGTTTGGTGTACTGCATGATGGCACAGTGGCTCGCCTGGGATTCCTTGCACCCCTTCACCGCTGTCATTCGCCTTCCAGTTCAAACTCCAGCGGTTACCAATGATTTCCTCTTTGTTTGGTCAGGGGAGGGATGTTGACAATTGAAGCCACGACATTATGACATTATTGACATTGCCCGTGAAAAGTTGGCACGAATGCGGGGACGCATTCAAGTCCGGTATCTTGCGTAGAATACGCCAACAAGAACCAACCACAAATGCTATTCCTCCCTAAAGAGCAGTTGCGCAGCTGTTCAACAACACGCAACCCCTGGCGGCCAGCTGAGTGACATGAGGGCCGGGAAGCGTAGGATCCTGCATGCAAAGCACCTGATTTCAGGTTCGATCACACCTATGTAATGTGGGAATTGCTAAAGGTACCTGGAGGTCATTGTACCACATAGTCACACCCCAACCAATAAATTCATTAGTGAATGCCCTTTGGAACATGCACTGGAAACTGCTTCTACATGTTTCTACCAATTTGATGACCTCTTTCTTTTAGCTGCCATTGGATCTACGGAGGGCCAAAAACGCCACACACAAATCCCTGCTCACCTCCCCTGGGCGTGCCAGGCCGACACTTTGGCCTTTGCAACAGCCTCCGCCTGCGCCTTCAGCGGCGTAAGCCTTGGGCCGTTCTCCGTTGCCGTGTTCGCTGGACACGCCGCGGGTGGATCGGGTTGGTGCGCTGAGTTGGATGAAGTGGTGTTGATGCTGCTGTCTACGGTGGTTTGGTGTCAATTGACCCCAACTGGTGTTTGTTTTTCTGGCCAGCCCGCCAAAAAGACTACTACTGACACAGCTGCTCGTGCTGAAATAACTGCTGGTGAACACCTCATCGCGAAGATCCATTCCAAAGCCTTACCCGCCACATGGGTACCCATGAACCAAACCTGTACCACATATCAAACACTCACAGTTGCCAAGCTCTGCCTTTGTCTCACCCGCGCGATGAGCTCTTGACAGCCGTGGCGGATGTTGGTGTCATGGCGCAGGCTGGGCTCGCTGGGCTTCAGCTGCTTCAGAACAAGGCCCACCACCTGAACTGCCTCCTGAGCGGTTAGAAGGGTGAATTATCACTATAGGGTTAGGTCTTGCTTTTGACTAGTATAGGACCTAAACGATGATATATCAATATACGGTATAAATATATATATATACAGTACATACATACTCCTGTATATACTACAACTTGATACAATAATGTAGTACGCCAAACATTGAGCTTGACCTAAAGTCGAAAACCACCAGGAGAATCTTTCAGGCCAGGAACGAACCACTGCATTGAGAAAGGCACGGGGGGTACCGAACTGACTGGTCATGGCAAGAGTCTGCATCCTTGCCAACCTCCCATTCCAAGCAATCCAATGGAATTCGCGGCTCCACATGTTGAAGTTCACAGAACCTGAGCGGTTCAACATGAGAGAGACGAGTTTGGCCAGAATGTGCCAGAATGCCTCGTTTAGATAGGGGGACTTGCCAGCTTCCCACCATGCAGTCATTCTGAAACAAACACACTGACCTGCCAACCCATGAACAGTTGTATCTACTCTCATGCAGCACGCAGTGGATTTTACAAGGAACTGTCTGTTGCTGATGGTTGGTCGTGTTTAACGGGCCAATGATTACAATGGGTCCTGTCACCCGTCCAAGACAACAGGCACCCAGAAGCCATTCGTCAGGGTCCCAAAACAGCCTGTTGGAGGGTCCTGGTTTGGATTCTGCACGTGCTTGCCCGGCCGCTTGTAATGATCGCCGTGCTCCGAGAAGGCACCCGGGCGGACGCGCACTTCCACCACCAGCCGGAAGCGCGCGTGGTCGACACAGAGGTCCGGCAAAGAGTAGAGGCAGAAGGTGTATTGGAAGGATGGAGACAAGTAAATCCTTGGAGCGTCCGGCAGGTCCGAGGGTAATCCTGGACCATATGAGCAAAATGGACGAGTGCCCCCCAAAATGACTTTCAGTGACTTTCATCTGGTATGCGCGCCTATTTTCCAAGTCAATCGGAGATCCTGGGAGATCACTGGGGGATGCCACCTGTGAGCGAGTTGAACCGACTCCAAGCATCCCCTTCTTCCCCACCCTCAGGCCCTCCGAGGCGATCCCCTCGATGTGGTGCAAGCTGGAGCCATGCCAGGCACGCTTCCAAGACCTCAGCGGTTGAGCTGGCGGTCTAGCGGCCCACGATGTTTGTATAGCCATAGCGGAGTTCTTGTTTTGTTGGGGATGGAAGGACATGGGCCCACATAGGAAACCTTACCAGCAGCGCGAAGGGAATTGCGTGAACCCTTGGAATCCAAACGAAAGGCAGCAGTCGCCCCAGTTCTTTCATTGTCACCCCCTTTGCAGGTTCCACTGTGATGGTCTGAGGATCAAATTGGGCGATGCAACATAAGATTTTGAACCTGTGATAGGCCATGATGGCCTTGCCGCCTTAGCCGCCTTGCCCTCCGCCCTCCGGAATTCTTGGCCAATACAATCCAATGCTCATGGCAGGAGAAAATCACTTCCCCTCTTCAGAATCTTCAGAAACAGTTGATTGTAAAAAGTAGCGGGTGCTGCAACATGCAACTTTGCTAACTGCGAACTCAAACCTTAAATTAAACATCTAACACCAATCAACCACACTGACAAACAGATCATATCCTCACGCCATCTATTACATAAATCCTCACACAACTCCGCCCCCCAGTCCGACCCATCCCCGTCCGTCCCAGACCACGTCCCGACCCATCCCCCGTTCCAGGAGACCGTTCCAGCGGCACGTGGCGCCCGTTGGAGGTGGGCTCCAGCGCGAAGCCCAGGGCGCCCAACGGCCGGAGCCCGTTGTGGCGAAAGCGCACGGCGCCGATGGGCGCCGCCGCGTAGACGCAGTTCCGCGCGTGGCGCTCGGAGATGAGGCCTCCGGCGCGGCACAGTTGGGCGGTGAGGACGGGAAGAAAGACGTGGCCGGCGCCGCATTCTGTGGGGTGGGAGAGTTGAGTGACTGAGGTGAGTTGGGAGAGTTGGGTGGTTGATGGTGCTCCAAGAATCCGTGCGAAAGAGACGGTCCGACCTGAGAACAGCCTTATATAGGCTTTAGAACACACTCGAGCAATGTCCCTGTGCCAAGATGTGCTAGACCATCAAAAAGCATCAGGTTGTCCAAAAGTATGGTCGAAAATAGGGCCTATTGTACTGTATTAACTGTTTCGCTGGCTGTATGTGTATGAAACTATTCCATACGTGGATGGTCTGGGCATCTCCAGCTGAATGAACTTGGAAACCCGCAGAACCCCC